CCATTATATGCAGTTTTTATGCTTGGGCTTTAAAATGTGTGCTCTTTTCATATTTTTAGTCATATTCTATTTATGAGTGTTGTATCAGCTTTTTACAGATAGGATTATATGTTGCAAATTAGTTTGAGGAGATAATTTATACAGAAAAACTGAGTCAATTTACATGCATCTATATTACCCAGAATACCAAGAGAAGACAGACTATTTTAAGTATTCAAGAGTTGATGTCTAATGTTGCTGGAATATTTTCTCCAAGCCTTGTGAATGGGAAAAGTGGGAATTATGAAAATCTACTATTGTCCTGCTTGAAAAACATACCTAAAGTATTTAACAGCTGGCATTTATGTTAAATTTTGCCTTTCAACTATATTATAAGCTCTAAGGGCAGAGTCCATGCTGTGTCTTTATTTGTTATGTAATTAAGTCTCTTGCACTTTCGTGATAGCTCTACCTTGCTGTTCTGCACCATGCATCAGGTACACACCTATCTTAAGTTTCAATAATTACCTCCAATGTAACTTGGAATTCTTGGATCAATATTCTAAGTGAGATGCTATCAGTTACGTGTGTGTTACCCGGCCTGTCCATTTACTTAACGAATTGACAGAGGCCCCGGTGAATTGAGCACAGGCTGTTGGAGCAAGGACAGCAATGGATTCAGCAAGCCAGCAGGACTTAGGAGATGAAGACTAGGATCCCTGAAGGCCACCGCAATACTACTGCTAAGGTCCTTTTATTTTGAAGAAATGGTAGACAGAACTTAAGAGCTGGTGATCAGTCCATTTGCAGCTGTCATGAAGGAAGAACACTGGGATGAGGGGAGCTTTGGAAAGCCAAGTCCACATTTTTCCTCACTGTCACTATTCTGTCTCATTGCCATAGGATAAGGAGTGGTGGTTTCTCTGACACTTGCAGCCAGAGGTGGTGAGGGAGAGGTGATTGTAGACTGGAACTGTAGTCCAGAGAATACTGGCCAAGGCTGTGCATACCATAATAGTAATAACAGACCTCATTATCACTTGTCACTTGGACCTTATGGTGCTGGGTTTCAGGCTTCCTTTAAAGCTCATTTAAGTTAATTTCTATTAGTATTAGCTGTAAATTCATAATGCTTCAGAGAGGTGATCAGGAACTGTATGGCATAAACTTCCATTCCTTCCCAACAAAAGCAGCTCTTACCCATCTAGCAAACACTCTACATGGGGTTTAAACTATAGGCAAGGTTAAAATCCCATCACTATCCTCTTGCTATTGAGAGCAAAGCCAAAATCCCTTCTTTGGAGTACAGCCTAAGAATGATTGCCTGTGGGATAGTTCATCCTCTTTCTGTAGTGAGGTAATAATTGCATTTATAGCATCCTTCCTATAGGACCCAGAAAGAGGATGTAGGAGAATTACCCCCTCATAACATCAGCAAGGAGGGAAGGGTAAATTACCACCATTTCTTAAATATTAGACCTCTTTTTCTATGATAGTCTAGGAATCTGATGACCCTGTTGAAATGGGCAAGCTGCTGGGTACAAATGTCACTGATGTGTGGTGGATTCCTGGTTTCACTCTGGCCAGTGTGAGAAAGAATAGGCCTCAAGAAGTACTTGAGGTGATGCAGTCTACTTTACTGAAAGTTGTTGGACTTCTTTTGTTACTTTTTTTCTGTTGGGATCTCGCAGTGTTGCCCTGGCTGGTCTTGCACTTGAGAACCTCCTGAGTAGTTGGGGAAATTGTAGAAATTCACCACAAAGAGATGCAATGAACCCTCCTCAAGTCTATCTTTGGGGTCCTAACATGAGAGTATATTTAAATACAAAGCAAGACATATCCACAACTAAGCAGTTTGTCCAAGATATGGTCCCCTGCCCACTCTTGTGTTAGCAAGTCTGTCCTGCAAAGTCACCTTACAAGTTTTAACAGTTTTCTCCTGGAGGCAAGTTCTTCCTGTGGCTTCAGCCATTTCTTGTCACAGCAGAATATTCCTGAGAGACTTTCATTTTTTTAAAATTCGAGACAGGGTTTCTCTGTGTAACCCCTTAAAGGTCCATTCTTTTAATAGTCTGATGTACAAAGAGGGAAGTATAAGTGCCCCTTTAGAATATATTTGTTCTTTCCAGATTGGTCAGTGACATGACTTTTGTGTCTTTTCTTTCTTTTTTTTTAAATAATTATTTCATTTGTTTTTTTGAGAATTTCATACATTATATTTTAATTATATCTTTTCCCTCCTCCAACTCCTTTCAGTTCCTCCCCTGTCTCCTTGCTCACCCAACTCCATGTTCTTTCCCTCTCTCAAAACAAGCATAAAGCCAAACAAACTCAAGACCAACAACAATAAAGTCCAGTTTGTGTTGTATGGTTACCCTGTGCATATAACTTCGTGGAGTTATAGTTGTTGTATCTAGTGTGACTCCATCCAAGAAAACTGATTCTGTTTTCATGCACATTCTCTCACAAGGTCTGACAATAGGCACGTAAGCTGCACAGCTCAGATCAGACAAAATCTCAGCACATAGTGGGAAAGTGGGCTCAAAGACCAGCCCCTCACCAAGAAGCTATTCATAACTGATGGCTTCTGGGAAAAGAAAAAAACGAGAAAATGACATTGCAATATTAATTCGGAAGTAGGTATGCTCTTCCTGCTCTTTTAGAGAACCTTGGGGGCTATCAGGGTTTCCTGGGCTCTACTTTGAGAACTGGTACTTGTGTTAGTTGCTTTTCCTGTTGCTTGGACAGGATACCTGACAAAGCACTAGTTGGATTTTCCTGGAATGCTGACCATCCACGCCTGACACTCATCTCTTGTCAATAGACTGGAGTTTGGAGGGGAAAAATACTCTAAACTGACTTGATTCCAGGTACTGGTATAGTGCTCATAACCAGCCACCCGGTCTCTATCTGGGAATGTCGATTCTTATGGTTCAGTCTCTGGTGCCTGATGTAGAAGGTCAGGGTCCACTGACTGCTGTAAGCCTTTTCCTCACTTTGACTTGCAGAAATTGCAAATAATTCTCAGGCTTTTATGAGCTCTGTCTTAGGGAAACAGTGGTTTCTTTCATTCTTCTTTTCTAAATTACATTACCTTCAATTGTTGGGTAGCTTTGGGGGGATCAGTTTTAAGTACCTCACCCTGCATCTGATTTCTGTCATCTGTCTCTTCCCATTTTCCTTTGGGCATATGCCTTTAAAACAAACAAGCAGAGAGAGCTCTGTGAAGTCTGCTTCAGGCTGGGAACTCTTGTATACATACATGAAATACCTTTGTTGCTTAGGAATCCTAACTGTGTCGTTTGAATGGATGTGTCCCTAGTATTTATTCATGCTTCATGACATTACACCATATTTGTGAGGTATGTGCATGCTTTTAGAGTGGGTTTATATTGAGGTCAAACAACTCAGATTGGGAAGAATTTTGGTGGTACAATGCAGCATATTGTACCACTGGTTCATCAGACAAAGAGAAGCAAGACCCTGAGGCCTCTTGAAGACCACCTCACTGGCAGAGACTGTTCTCGTGATGTAACCAAAAGAACCATGTACAAAAACAAGTCTCTTCTGAGGGACAGTTGTGACTAGTCTGCTAGCAGCTTCTTCAGGCTCTTTGATAACATGATAGTTCTGAGAGTTGGCTGAGCCTGGAAGGACCTAGGGGACCAACCCTCCTCAGGTGATGGCTTCTGAACTGGAAGGGCTTGAGAAAACCCAGATTTCTATTCTCTTAACACTTATATGTGTCTTTTTTTTAAATATTTATGCCGGTCTCTCCTGCCAGGTGGGTCCCAGAGACTGAACACAGGCCATCAGGCTTAGTGGCACGAGTCTACCTGCTGAGTCACCTGTCTGGCCTCAAAATCCAGATTTCTGAATCAGAAGAGTTAGGTAGCACTGAAGAATTTGCATTTCTAGTAAGTTCCTGATAGTCTAGAGAGAACCACTCTAAGACCTGACCTACAGGCTTTTCAAAAGAAAGGAATTAGGTGGATGCCTGTCATTTATAGTACAGCGGGAAAACACTTTAATTAGATGAAACTTCAACATAAAGAATAGATCCCAGGTTGTGAAACAAAATGCCAGGCATTCCAGGTGAAGTCCCGATATGTCACATGCCTTAAACAGCACAGGTGTATAATTGGTACTCCTGGGTTTTATTTGCTTGCTAAACTGTTTTTGAGAGTTAGTAAGCAGACAGCTGTCCCACACACCTCTCTTGTGCAATCAAGCCTGAGTCTCAGTGCTATCTGGAAGAGGTTTCTTTTCTTTTATGTGTGTATATGGTGTACATGGCATGGGTACACATGGAGGCCAGAGGCTGACATCAGGATGTCTTCCTGAGTCACTTCTATTCTTTGAGACAAGATCTGCTCCCTGAAGCTGGCTGGCCAGTGAGCCCCAGGAATCTGCCTATCACTACCCCCTCAGCACTGCTGTCATCACAGCCAGGATTTTAGGTCGGTGCTATAGATATGAACTCAGGTCTTCCCTTGCATGCAGCAAATATTTACACAGTGAGCCACTTCCCTGTTCCCCAAAAAGGATTTTGAAGGTAAAATTAAGTTCCTAAATCAAGTGCTTTTAGACAGGAGACTATGCGGGTGGGGCTTGTTTTATCCACGTGTATCTTTAAAGGGGAATGGGCCCTTTCACAATAGAACCCAACCAGGAGCTGGTTTGCATGAGGGGAATTCTCACTTCTAGCTTTGAAAACGGAGGGGAAGAAATACTCATGGCCTTTAGGAGAGGAGAGCAGAGCAGTCTTTGGCTGACAGACTAAGTGGCTCCTCTGTCCCATAACATCAAGGTACTTCTGAATTCTGTCTTAACCACTTGAGCGTCAGGTGATTGCAGCTGGTGACACAATCATGTCAACTCTTACTGCACAGTGAGCTGGCAGCTTGCCGTCTCATGCCCACCTTCTGAATTCCCTGACTCCGACAATGCAGAAATTTGATGCTTCTAACTCTGCCAGTCCATTACAGCAGCCATAGAGAACAAGGTCACAAAGGATCAGCTACTGTTTGTTAAATATTTATTTATTGATGTTAAGTCCACATTACAACGGCACAACAATCCAAAGTATGGTAGTACTTTGTTTTTTATGTTTTTTCATAAATACAAAGTAAAAGGTGGCAAAAAAAATGCTAGTTAATCCCAAGCCCAGCAAATTAGCAAAAAAAAAAAAAAAAAAAAAAAAAAAAAAAAAAAAAGTCACATTCAGAAAAATTTGGCAAGTATAATAATATAGGTCACAATTCTACAACAGAGATAGGTCTAAAAGACCCTGCATGGTTACTTAAACCCCCCATCAGCAATGTGTATGTGGTCAAAGAGTCTTGTACCACACGGTATAGAACATCTGCCACCCAGTGCTCAAGCCTGCTAAAACTTGGTTTGTTGGTGTTCTTACAAAAGTAGAAAGCTGTACATGTGAAGCAGTAATACAAAATAAATGGGGTGGTTACAGATACAAAATTGTTTTAAAAAGTACTATGTATGAATTGAGTAACTGAGCTAAGAAAGTTGAACACTTTTATAAATAATGAACAATAATAGATATGGTTTGCATGAGGAACACAGTGTTTTCTCTTCATAGCAAAGTACCATTAAAGCCTCACGTCTTACACTACCAGGCCAGATTATTTTCTCTCATTAAAAAAGGAAAATATTGGTTCCGACTTAAAGTCATCAAGTCTGGTCAGAATCAACTGTGTTTAGCTGATGCAAAATCATGCATTCAAAAAGCGGTCCTTGCAGCTTGGCCGTGTAGGTGCTCAGAGCTTGGCCCTTCTAAGGCTAGATTCCATGGCGTCAGGGAAGTGAAGGGAACTAGAAATGTCCATTCACCACCTCCTGGTGCCAACGGAAAAGAAATTCATTGTAGCACAAGCTTGTTTTTGTCTCTCAAGTCTCCACTTCCCTCAGGCAAACTAGACCCTACCAGCTACTTCTCACTCATGCCCCCCCCTGCAATCTCAACCCATGTCCAACTTACTCTACATACTAACGTCATTAATCCTACACACGTCAGCTACATGGAAGTCTCCATCACACATGCACACCAGACTTCCAGATGACCCTCTAGAGTCCTTGACTGGTTAATGGCAGTGTTTTTGCATCTATGTTTTTAAGGTTTAGAAGAAAACCAAAGAAGAGCCTGGCCCACTGCCTGATGCTTTCATCTAAATGGATATGAGATCCCTGTGTGGGTAGCAACTCCTTCCTTCCTTCTTCCCATGCCTTCCAAACTTGTTTCCTCCAAACACTACATGCCTTGGTCATTTGGGTAGTTTGATGCCTCTTGTGGAATGGACTGTAATACGTTTCGGCTTTCTACAGAACATTTTAGTTGTTTAAGTTCAAATTAGCCTTTTAGTTCCTATGGATTGTAAGTAAGCCTCATACTGAAGTAGCGTAAAGAGAAAACCCCTGATACGGATGACATTTAAGGCAAGAAATTCCTTTCTTGTGGTTTAACACGAGCAGTTTGCAAAGACAAGGCGTTCCCTGGCTTTCTTCATCATTCTCCTTCCCGCCCTTCCATATTGCACTTGGTTCACTGTAGCCATCTGTAGACACTGCACTTAGAGACGCTGAAGTATCTATCAAGCATTTCACACTGCCACACTAGAGCACCTATAGCTTGTGTTTGAAGGCACTTATGGATAACTTAAACCATGGTTACCTCTGAACAGTTGATTTCTTTTGGCATTTCAGACCATTTTGATTACAACAATTCCAAAAGTTTTAACCTGGACAACAAATGCGAATTTTTTGTGCAATGTGTACATTTCTATAAGCATCGCCTATTTAGATTCTCTATCAAGTAAGAAAAATACAATTTTGGTGTTGTTTTTCTTTTTTTTTTTCAATTTCTTAAAGTCAAAAGTATACTTCTGCCTTTTATATAATGTGACAGAGGAGGACGTTGGTCAAAGCAATGGCGTTCAGTTTTCAGCTTCAACAGGGGCACCCATCACAGGTCGTCACTTTCTACCAAGCCACTGTTCAGTGTCAGGTGAGATGGGCTTGCTTCAGGTTGGAAAGCGGCTTTGATGTCTAGTCCCTGGTCCGAAAGTGCTGCGTAGCGACTGGCCGAGGGCCGTACTTTTTTTGGCTTGGTGGTCTGTGGCTGCTGATGCCACTGGGCTACAAAGAAAGAGAATAAATGAAGATTTTTAGCAAACATATGCTTGGGAATCCCGTAGGAGTTTAAGTAAACAAAGAATGGCTTTTGGGCAGAGCCTGATGGCTTACACCTGTAATCTCAGCACTTCAGGCTGAGGCAGGAGAATTGTTGTAAGTTTGAGGTCAGCTTGGGTTGCACAGTGATGGCCATTCTGGGTTTCAGAGCAACAAACTGACTCTAAGAACAAAAAGCACACTCACAAAATGAATATATATATATATATATACATATATATATGTATATATATATATATATTCCATAATACTCTCTTTAAAAAGATTTTATTTTTTATATATGCTGAGTGTTTTGCCTTTATGTATGCACATGCACTGAGTATGTTCATGGTGCGTAAGTGTGTTGCCTGTGTGTTTGCATATTCACTGACTAGGTACCTGGTACCTGGGAAACCAAGAGGTGCCAGATTGCCCTGGTACTGGACAGCTGTGAATGGCTGTGTGGATCCTGGGAACCAAACCCAGGTCCTCTGCTAGAACAGGAAGTGTACTTAACTGCTGAGCTATCTCTCCAGTCCCCACATATATACTGTTTGTGGAAGAACGAACACAGTCACGGTAGAGCCGTAGCTAACTTAAGAGGTCCTTCTGCGTTTTACTTACAAGAAACACAAGCCAGTGTCTGCTTGTGGCCATGGGCTGTAAAGTCAGGCAACATGGGAAGTTATTGTTCTTTTACCAACTGCAGCACTGGAAAAATCTCAAAACAGTTGGTAAGCTTCCTATATCTGACCCATTTTTCTCTCTTTCCTTTAATGATAATTACAGTTAGGAATTCTAGATAGAGTTTTGACATTAATAAACCGAAAAGAATCAGGCATTTGGGAAGGTCTTGAGGGACTATTACTTTCTTAAGCAGAAATAAAATCTGGAATTTGTTTTTAGGATTTTCTATTTTCTTATATCAACTGATCATATAATGCTGTTGTACTAGCCTTTAAATTGAGCTGGTGGTTTTTGAAATTTAGGATGCATGTATATAGATACACACACACACACACACACACACACACACACACACACACACACACACACATTCAAGAATCTCCTGGTAAGCTGTTTAAGAAATATTAATGAGAAAAGCACTTTGCAGTGTTAAGTACACATTCCAGAATCAAGGTACACACATTAAGACTGTAGCAGGACACCGTGAGAGGACTATGGTTCAGGAGGAGATGTTAAGAGACAGTCACTTGCAGAATATCGGGATAAGAAAATATGCAAAATGCGGATGCCTTTGTCCACTGTTAACCCCCATGGATGCTCAAGTGAGAAAGCCGCAGCTGACTAGTCAGCCTACGAAAACAACATGCACATCTCGCTAATCAAAGACCCTGGTGATACTTGGGTGTTTGTTCTCCTGGAGGGGTTTCACTATTAATGTCGGGAAACTATAAACAGAAAGAGAGAGAGAGCAATATGAATTTCTTTTTAGCAAATAAAATGCTCGAGTATAAACTTAGAACATAAATCTTGGAGTAATGAGATACGTCATTCTGATAACCTAATTCCTAATCATTCAACGGGGGCAATGCAGTGAGATGACATGAGGCCGCACTCACTGTAGACATCCAGCCGGGCAGTGCAGGACACAATGCCAGCCTCGTTCTTGGCGGATACAGTATACCACCCAGCGTCTTCTTTTGTGGCTCCCTGAATGAGCAGGCAGATGTAGCCATGGTTATCCTGGTGCATGCTGCAGAAAAAGATAAAGTCATTAGTGCCCCACATTTAAAAAGTGGCTTTGGATGTGCAACATCATTTTTAATCAGGTCATTGGAAACAGAACTGTTCGAGTAGCAGACAATAGACAGGCTCATAGTCATTAGGGGCGGGCAGCTAGCCCCGTTAAGTTAATGGGAGAGTGGTAGACCTCGAGAGGGTGAATAAACCTCGGCACTATTCCTAGAGGAAGACCTGCCCGTGCAAAACCATGGACGAGGCTGTTGCCACCGAAGCAAATGAATCCATCTCTTCTTTTTCTTATACACATTTCAAAAATGCAATGAAGTCAGAATGTGCTCGCCACATGGCCACATTGCTGCCTTCCACAACCTTGAGCCTACATTTGGGCGAAGGGTGACTTTTGTCTCACCTGCCCGTGATAGCATGGATTTTACATACACCGATTTGCATGCAATAGCCGACATATCTATTGTCTAGATTGAGGACTACACAAGTTATGGGGTAGACACTGCCGCTGTGTATTCTTTCTTACCTTACTCGCTCAGTGCTGTGAGTGAGCGATTCATTTTCTTTCTTCCAAAATATCTGAGGCGGTGGCACTCCCGAAACTCGGCACTCCAGCCTCACTGGGTACCCATCGGCTACCCCTGTGTTTTGCAGTTTCTCAACAAACACGGGGGCCTTGTGTGCTTCTTTAGCTAAGGAAACACCAGATGAATTATCTGTTAGTGGCGTATAAAAGGGTCACTTGAGCCACTCTTTTATGATATCATTTTTACTTCACGAGGCAGAGGTTAGTGTTTTCTCCAAGCAAAGGTCTGTAAGCTTCTTTCCACTCGTGTACTCCCTCAGTTAGTTCAAGACAGATAGTCCCACACAGTACCCTGACATCTGCTCCTCACCATGCCTGCCTGACAGGCCTCAGAGATCCAGAGTCATTGCTGGCGGCTGTGAGAGCTTTGCCTAATTAAGTTAACATGAGCTCACAGCCTTTACCCACTGGTGCCATCTAGTGGTGCCAAGTACACATGCTTTGGACTGGCTGCCACCTGAAATGTGTATTTTGAAGATTTAAGATTTGGAACTCATAATGCAAGGAGACATATTACAGGATTTAAAGGGTGGGGAAAATACATTCAGGAGAGCGATGTTTATCTACATTTGGGAACTTTTTTTATGGTTATCCATAAACTAAGGATGTACAGACTGCAAATTACAAATCTAACTTGTGTTCTTTTTAGGGAGCTACAAAGAAGACAACTTAGTGACTATCTTACAGGATTTTATTACTTAATCTTTTAAAAGTCAAGACTTGCCAGGTGGTGGTGGCGCATGCCTTTAATCCCAGCACTTGGAAGGCAGAGGCAGGTGTATCTTTGTGAGTTTGAAGCCAGCCTGGTCTACTGAGTGAGTTCCAGGACATCGGGGCTGTTACTTACAGAAACCCTGTCTGGAAAACCAAACCAAAACAAAACAAAAAGGACTTCTGGTTAATAAATATCTGTAATATTATAAGACAATGGTAAAGAGGTTTCTTGGGAGACTGGTAGAAACCGTTTCAGAGAAAGAATAGTTTTAATTTCATCTGAGCTCCCAACAATGAATCTACAGACATGCATCGTACACTAATACGAATCAAGGTCTTTGCCATCGGACACTAGGTTGTGTCTTACTAGCTGTGTCACCTGGAAAACAGACCACAGATGTCTCAGCAATCTCAACTAGTGGGGACCATAAGGGGTCATATCAGTTTGAAGGATTAAACTGGAAAAGTGCTTATGAAGTCCTTACAGACATCGCCGTGTACAGTGCCCCAAGCAGCACATGCTGTCATTGGCGGGCAGTTGGGATGCTAAGGCTGCTTTGAAACACAGCTAACAACACACAAACTAATATCTGATGGTGAAGACCTCGATCCATGTTAACTGGCATGCACTGTCTGCTCAGACATGAGTGCTGAACCATGCCCAGATGTCTGTTTCTGGGACACTCAGGTTTTATCCTGATGGACAAAGAAGACCAATGGGTAAATTTAATAGAAAAACAAACAGTTTAATTTGAGTTTACGGAAATGAATGAAACCAATCCTACCATGCGGTTAAAAGCCTGGTTAAAATGACAGTATTGCCCATGTATTTATCAGGTTTTTGTGGAAAAAAACCTATCGGTTCTTATATCCTGGATTTAAAGCCCTTCCTGGTTTTATTCTCTTTGGCACTCTATTGAAGAAGCTGAGTGCTCATGGCGTGTTTGCAAGGGACTATCTGGAGTCTAACCCTAGCTCACTAAGGGGAACTCCAGGAAGCTGTAATTTTCTCACAGGGCTGATACCAGGCCTAGCCAAGATAATGTATATGATGGCATTGTCAGTCGAGCTTTAAGGAAAACACGTTGGCAAGCTTCATGATAGCAAGAGTCAGGCCATCAAAATCTGCCTTACTCTAAGGGTGGTATGAACCTTTTCATGAAGGTTTCTCAAAGTCTAACTTCCTGTAACAACACTTAAACACATTACTTACAGTATTGCTTAGAAAGCAAACTTGTTTAATTTGATACTGAATTGAGGGTAGATTGACAACATTGCTTAAAGTTTTTGAGTTTTGAAGTATGGTCTGTTTAAAAAAAAAAAAGTCCAGAAGAGAGCAAGATAAGAGATATCATAATAGAGGGAGACATTATAGGTTTAAAGAGAAATCAGGCACTAGGGAAATGTCTGGAGATTTACAAAGATGACACCAACTAACAATCTAAGCAACAGAAGAGAGGCTACCTTAAATGCCCTCCCCTGGTAATGAGATTGATGACTAACTTATATGCCATCCTATAGCCTTCATCGAGCAACTGGTGGAAGTAGAAGCAGACACCCACAGTTAAACACTGAGCTGAACTCTGGAATCCAGTTGTAGAGAAGGAGGAGTGATGAGCAAAGGGGTCCACACCAGGCAGGTGGAGCCCACAGAAACAGCTGACCTGAACAAGGGAGAGCTCTTGCTCCCCAGACTAATAGCTGGGAAACCAGCATGGGACTGATCCAGACCCCATGAATGTGGGTGTCAGTGAGGAGACCTCGGAAATCTGTGTGGCCCCTTGTAGTAGATCAGTACTTATCCCTAGCATAGGAATGGACTTTGGGAGCCCATCCCACATAGAGGGATACCCCCTGAGCCTAGACACAGAGGTGGGCCTAGGCCCTATCTCAAAGGATGTGACAGACTTTGAAGATCCCCCAGGGAGGCTGAGGCTGAGCAGAAAGGGTATGGGATAGGTAGGATGTTAGTTGGGGGTGGGGCAGGGGAGGAGGGGAGGGTGAGGGAACTCGGATTGACATGTAAAATAATCTTGTTTCTAATTCAAATAAAAAAATGGAGGAAAAAAAAAGTTCGTTGGACTCTCCATATAAAGTTCCGGAAGCCTGTCTGTCAGTCACTCCTTTCCTGTGGAACATGAGGCTTATCACAGCCATGAAAAAGTAAGCTGCCCAACTCTTCTTCCCTTCTTTGCCAGATTATGGGAAAAAGAAAAGATAAATAATAATGGCTATGCTGAAGTAAGAAAAATGGACCCTTCCTGTTGCTAATCTTTATGACATGCTACCATTGTATTTGGTGATACAATCTGTTTTGTCAGCATTTTGACTTATTTTCTGCATTAGCTAATGATGGACAATGTGGTTTTGTGTCATTTGACTTGTTCTGGAAGTGAGAAAGGAGTCACAGACCACCTACCAGCAACCACAAGCTCCAGGTTAAAAGAGTTCTGCCCTGCTCTGTTGGTGGCAATACATGTGTAGATGCCGGCATCCCGGGACGTGACTGGCTCTATAATGAGGGAGTGTACTCCATTCTCACGGACCAACATCTTGTGAGCACTGTCAGGGCGTATGGGCTTCCCATCTAGCTGCCAGCTGAGATCTGGGGTTGGTAACCCACTGACCTAAACCAGAAAGGAAAAACAAGTAAATTTCTCTAATATTAAAGCAACCAAGTCACCAAGAGTTACAGATCCAGCATCGATTCCTCTAGAGTTTTGAAATTGCTGTATGGTATGTTAAAAACAGTGTGTTGGATTTTATATATAAAGTTCCAGAAGCCTGTATGTCTGTCACTCCTTCCCCATGGAACACTTGGTAGCACAAACAATGGCTTTTTAGATGGCTTTCTCATGTCACTGCTTTGTTTAAAACCTTCCCATGGTTTCCATAAACACACAGATACTCACAACTAAGCATTTCTTAAAGAACAATCCAGAGATAAGTGAAACAGGGATTAAAACATATTTCTGTCATCATCTTACCTCACCCAGGACTATAAAAATTCCCAGGTGATGTCAGCTTTGGGCTCTGAGCTCTTTGGAAACAGAAGATGTGCAACAATATCACTCAGCTCTAAAATTTCCCACCAAGGAGTGGCCATCACCATGGAGATGTTAGTTAATTCGTCCATTAGTATACAAGCATATTATCATTTTATAATCCTTGAAACTGAATAACAAGAACAATTGGAAATTGCCCAGAAGGTCATAGACAAATTAGCATCACAATGGAAATATCCTAAAATCTTAAGACCATGGCAGTTGTGTGACCAGGGATCAGATAACAGTGTGAAAGGAGGTGGCCATCTGCCAGCTTTTTACTGTGTTGCCCTTGATTTTGACGTAGGTAGAAGAGCATTACATAAGACCTTTTGAAATCCCACCTTCTTGCAACTTTACTAATGGGAAATCATGTATAGGAGACATCTATTGGGTTATAAAACAATTCCTTTGAAGCATTAACTTTGTCCAATTCTGTCAGAGAACTCATGCATTCCATCCTGCCCCACAGTATGTATTCAGTCCTACTGCCCACAAAGTATCTCCTATACATGTAGCTGAAGTCTGGAGAATGTAAGGGAAAGAAGTGCAATTAAATAACCTTTTAAGAGGATGGGATTTCAGAAAGAGCAGTAGGGCTTGTGGGCAGCATGATATCCTCCTATCCCTTGCTCTCCTATCCCCAGCTCTCCATGGGTACGCTCTCCCTGTGGGGAAGACACTAGAATGACACGGAAATAAAGCAGTAGATATTCCCATCTGGGCTCCAGGTCTTGGGGAGTTCATAAGTTGTTTCCGCTCTTCTGGGCTTCATAATGGACAGGCAGGAACGTGTACTCGCAGGAAGTCACTGATTGGGTTCTTTCAAAACTATTCACACAGGAGCTGTTCCAGTGGGCGGAGTTACTCATGCTCAGGCAAAGGAAGCAGGCCCTCTTCACGCCAGCACTCCCCGTGTGTAGTGAGAGCAGCATGGTATCAGGAGCTGAGGGTCATCCCAAGCTGGCCTCAGTCTGAGCAGTCGGTGCTTTTGGCCCACGTAGAGATGCAGAGAGAAGAGCACACTTAGCAAACTTTGAAGTAGGTAGTAGTGTACAGTGTCCATTCATATGGCAAGCCATTTGGTTCTTCTTTTGTTTTTGAGGCAAGATTTCATGTGGCCTGAACTGGTGACTACGTAGGCAGGGATGACTTTGACCTTGTGATCCTCCTACCTGTGTGTTCTTTGTGCTGGGGTCTGATGCTTGTGCCACCAGATTGTCTTTATGCAGGTCTGATCGTGATAGTGAATTCAAGGAGTGATTGTCTTAGTTCTCCATATCCTTTTAAAGGCAGAGATTACAGGACATTTATGTTGCTGTTTAGAGCAATAAAAAGTAGCTCCTAGAGTGCTGTGTATCAGCTCATCTCACCCACTCTTGCTACCTCCTTACATTTTAAAATTTATCTCAGTCTTGATGTAATTTTGCTTCTAAGTAATTAAGTATACATCCAAAAAATACACGTTTTCTTTTTCTGAAATAGGGCCTGACTGTGTAATGCTGACTGACTTTTGTTTCCCTGTGTAGACCAGGCTGGCCTGGAACTCCCCAAAATCCACCTGCCCCTACCACCTGAGTCCTGGGGGTGAGGATGTGAGCACCACACCTGGCCCACAACTCCATTTTTACACATGAAATTGGTAACAATCAATCTTAGGATGTCATCATCTCTTTTGTTGACTAGAAATACCATCACATTGGTTATATTTGTGAACTCTTTCAAAATTTAAAATATTTACTTAGAAAACGGGAAAATGAAATTTTTCATTTGTATATATTGCATACATGATGCTCTAGAATATGTACACATTGTGGAATAATGAAGTTGAGCTAAGCAGCATATTGGTTATCGCGCGCGCGCGCGCGTGTGTGTGTGTGTGTGTGTGTGTGTGTGTGTGTGACACAACCTCCTGTCAGCAGCCTTCATGTGTTTGAAGGGTTCTTAATAACCACCAAGAAGAACATTAGATTTCTTGAACTTCCATCAGCTGTGTGACTGACAGCTTGCCAATCCTGCTCCTCCAGCTCTTGGCAAGTATCATTTAGTTTCTCCACTGCCAAGCTTCTTTAGATTCTGTTGCGGGAATTTTGTGTTGTGGTCTGATGGTCAGACGTTGGTTCGAGAGGCAAGGTTCCAATTCAGCTGGTTGGATTAGATCAGAGAGTTCCCCAAAACAAGAGAAAGAGTGGCCTTTGGCGATGAGGAGGCAGGGCTGGAAGGTGGCACAGGCTCTGGCCAAGCCGAGCAAGGAGGTGAACAGAGACCAGCATGGGTCGGAGCTGTAGTGCTTGTCTCAGGTTCTTATCTTTATATTTTGTCTCTGAGTTTTATTTTATAATAAACGATGAAAGACATCACAGCAAGTTTCTACATGTACGTGACAAATGAGTGAAGTCACACAGTGTTTGTCTTTCCGTGCCTGGGTCATTTAACTTAACATAATACACTTTAGGATCGCCATGGAGTTTCTCCTTTCAATATGCCTCAAACAGGTATATTTTTAAATCTGTTAATCTGTTGGTGGACACCTAAACTGATTCTGTATTTTGGATATTGTGAACGGCTTGTTCCCTCTGTCTACTATCCCACCAGCAGCAGGTCACAGGGCATCAACTTTTTATGTGGTGTTGGAGAGATCTGAATTCAAGTCTTCATGCATGAGCAGCAGACACTATACCACCTGAGTTATCTTCCCAGGCCCCTCATGTATGAAGCTCAAAAACTTTTTTTTATTTATTACTCATTTACTTACTTATTTACTGTATAGCCCTGGCTTCCCTAGAACTCATGTAGACCAGGCTGGCCTCAAACTCACAGAGATTAACCTGACTCTGCCTCTTGTGTATTGGGATTAAAGGCGTGAGCCACCACACCTGGCCCCCTGAATATGTGTTAATTCTTGATTAAAAATGAAGTAATGCCTTGAAATTCACCAGTGTTTTATAATGTAAGATGTGCTACATTTGAAAACAAACTATTTTAAATAATACATTTATTCTTTCCTATATGTTGTAAGACCCCCCCACACACACACACCAAAAAAAAAAAAGTGACCAAATAAATTAGGTTACTTCAAAGCAATTGCTAGACTAAGAATGAGGAGACACACACGATCCTCCCATCTCCACTGAAGGAGTGTCTGTGGTCACTGGCAAATCCCTTCTCACACCGATAAAGGAATCATAATTTCTACTCTTGCATCTTCGGGAGTGATGTTTGTTGAAACTCATTAAGGCCACAGCTGTGGCCTAATTTTAGAAATACTGAAATGAATTGTTCCTTGCCTCACGCTAGCCATGGCTGGTGCACATCCAGGAAACTTACTTTAACAGCAACTTTTTGAAACCTCTCTCTACCAAACTCTAGTTCTGCAGTTCCAGGGAGAACCAGCAGATGGAGCCCAAACAATTTAAAAATCTATCCACATTTACTCACTAAAGGTTAAGACAGTAATACAAAGGACAGGTGGAAAGGGGGTGGGAGGGTTGGTAGGGGAAGGGGTGTTCAGTGGGAATGGGGAGGCAAGGTAGGTGAGGTGAGGAGCAGGGGGCTAGAAACCAATGCAAGGAGACATGTATGAAATGCCTTAAGGAAGCTTATTAGCATGTAAGCTAATTTAAAACCAAGTTCACCAATAAAGACTACTATAAAAAAGACAGTAACACATCAATGGAGGGATGAAAAAGACGTAGCTCCATAGCACAGAGTAATCATGAAGACCACCGGGTGACTGGGATGCAGGGCAGATTCATTGCTACAAAATGAGGGGGAGGGGCAGGGAGAGGAGAGAGAGTAAGACCTAGTGATTTGCTGGAGGCACAGACACACTCTGCAGTAAACACAGAAGGGAATGCGGCAGGCAGGGACACACTTACTTTGCAGTCCATCCTGCAGAGTTTGCCTTCCTGAACAGTAAGATCTCCCGGAGCCTGCAGGAAGTGAGGCCGGAAGAATCGCTCCTGAATGGGCTCGTTTTCATCTCCACTGTCCCTTGATCGAGAGCGAGGCCTTGAGACAAGAGACGAGATAGGCAGATAAATAGGACATTCATGGGCAGTTATTTCCAGGAGAGACAAGTCCCTGTCTGAGCCCGCTCCCCTGATATTTACACACACAAAAATGCCACAAGCAAACCTGGTTTCATCTGTAAATTTATGATTGACTTAATAGTCTCCAATCAGCAAACTATTAAATACAAATCAGAAAAGGGAAATGGAGAAGGGGTTACTATGTTTGGGAATATTTTTTTCCTAATCAGACAGTCTTAAAGCTTTGTTAGAATTTTATTTGTTTTGTTGTTTGTTTGCTTGGATTCTGTTTTTGTTTGTTTTTTGAGACAGGGTTTCTCTGTATTGCACTGGTTGTCCTGGAACTCACTCCATAGAATGACTAGGGTGGCCTCGAACTCAGAGATCCACCTGTCTCTGCCTCCTGAGTTCTGGGATTAAAGTTGCCCGGTTTTGTATTAGAAGTAGCAGCAGCTTTTCTTCTTTCTAAACCAAACCTTTCCCAACAGAAATGAATGTTAACTTTTCATGATGACTTAAATTTTGTAGCTAATTATAATTTCTTTATAAAAATATAATGATTTCTCATCAAAATTCCTTTTCACGATCCTTGGGAAAACAAATTACATTTTTAGGCATGTTTAATTTTTCATTAGTTTGTCTGTTTGCCTAAAGGCCTTATTTTCTGCTTTAAACAAGGGTGGTGCCAACCTCTCAAATTTTGTATGCCTCCCTGCTCACATTACCAGAGCAATTGAACCGACAGTAATGGCACAGGAGACTTGAGAAACCAAGCAAGATGTTAAATGCAAATTGTCAGAAATCATTAGGAAGATTAAGTTTAAAAGAGGAGGGCTGGCACTGTAGCTCAGTGGAAGAGCACTTGCCTCAGATGCATAATGCCCTAGGTTCAATCCTCAGTGCCGGGGGAGGGAGGAGGGAGGGAGAGAGGGGGTGTGTGGTCATGATAAAGACACCACGCACTTTGAGTCTGTGTTCACTGCCATGCTGTGATGATTGTGGTAGCAATGGGTTTACAGCAATAAATGAATGAGAAGGAACACACAGGACACCCAGGAACGAGCTTCAGAAATACCTTCTGGCATGGGGATGGCCCGAGGGAGAGCGGGGACTGCGACCTCTTTGGTTGACAGCCTGTACCATTAGCCGTCCTGTACAACTGACACGACCCTGTTGGAGATATCAGGAGAAGACATTAAGTGTTATGCAAACCTGTTAGCCATCACATACTGGTAAGTCTTGTATCTTATTCTCTCTGAGACACGAGTCCTTAGTCATGTACCACTAGTAACCAAACCAAAGCATCAGGAAAACAATTTGCTGAAAGAATTCAGGTGACAAGAGTCTGTTTTTACCTAGGGTAGCATTCAAAATGACACCCCTCTTTAATCTTCAAAATAACGTTTCCCTAACACATAAAGCTGAGTCATAAAATACAACGGGATGATATTTTTCTCTTATGATGCTCCATCTTCACGGTCGAACATCTACTTATTGTGGCTAATTCTGAGATCAGAACTAGATGATTTCAGTTTTCTCTCAGATCATCTCAGCAATACATTCATTGACAGTTAGTGTCATTGCTCTGACCAAGCCTTGTACTAATGGATGCCTGCACGATAAAAATGAACATCCTATAAGAAGTGGGCATAGGACAAGATGAGCATCATGACCATAAGACATTGTGGTCTCTGAAATAAACATGTACACAATTTAAAAGCCAGGAATGACTGGATACCCAGAATATGGCTCACAAGATAAAGGCCTAGCTAATGAAAAGTTGTATTTATCATTCAAGTTGGCCAACTGTAAGCTCGGTAAGTTGTAAGAAGATATGCGATACTTTGAGGACTCGGATGACAAGAATAAGTCACCAGATTTTACTCTGGAGTTTGGTTTAGGCTTTTCTCATACTATTACTAACAGGCTGTGACATCAATGAGTTCCTCCCCACTCTTTAGAATGAGTTGTCTCTAACTTCTGAAGCAAAAAAGAAACAACAATCGTAGCTTGGGATGCCAATATAGATAGGAATTCAGCAGTGTGCTGGAGGACTGGTGTTCCAGCTGAAGGTGGGCAGGGCAGACTGTATTAGAAGAAACAAGGAAGGGTATCACAGCAAGAAACCCAGGGTAGGCTTTCCTGGAGGGCAGGCATTCAGTCAACCTGGTTCTCCGGACTTCCCATGGCATGACTTCTCTGGGGATGCAGCCACTCAGAAAGGGCAGACACATCAGATGTAATGCAGACCAGAGAAGAATTGGAATTACTAGGTAGAAAGGGGTGGAATGACAACAACAAAATGAAATTGTCTCCTGTCACCAGATAGTGAGTGTCTCTAGCACTCAACACTTGTTATAGAGGTCAGAGCCCAAACACTGTCTTTCCCCCAAACTTCCAAGGTGATCTGAGTAGACTCTTAGGAGGGGGGCTATTTCCCATTAGGTTAACTGTATCTGAGGCTCTCATGGTGAGCTCTCAGCAAACATTTGATTATCTCTAGAATAGCTAGAAATCAGGAAGTTAAAAACCCTTTAAATCTATAGTCACTCTGGAAAAATCTGTCCGTGACTCACTTAGGAGATCTCTCTCTCTATTAATCACCTCACTGATAGATCATGCTAGATGTTTTATCAGACGAACATATAGAAGCTAAGATTCCCCTTTTGAGATAAAGGGTAAGAAAGCACATGTTTCGTGTTTCATAGACAGCTTCAAGTACACTGACATGGGACGTTGATTCAATGGTGGCATGCATATAAAGTAAAGCACCCTTCCAGGACCAGTGAGAAGTTTATATTAACCAGTTATTTATGTAGTCACAAGATCATAGGGCATAAATTAAATTCAAACTTTAACCTTGAATTTAGGAAAGGAAATGTATATTGCTCTAAAAAAAAAAAAATCCCCTTAACATCAACTTGAATTCGGGTTTTCTTTACAACTTTGGGCAAAATACAGATACGTAAATGTATGTGTGCCTCACAAGGATGCTTATAAGGATTAAATATTAAAGGAAGAGGCTATCATTTATGATCTTTGTTCTCATATATTAACCTTCACTTCTGCATATAAACAGGGAGGGCTTGGTCTTCCAAGAGATGGGACTGTGTTTGATTCTTTGTTGTTCCTGGCTAAATACATCACGGAATCACATAGTGATATGGCTCAGGGGTAAGCTGATTGTTGCCAATCCAACAACCTGAATTTGACCCCTAGAGCACACATGGTGGGAAGAGAAACTGATTCCCACAAGCCTTTCTCTGAACTACACACACACACACACACACACACACACACACACACACACTGTGGCAAGTGTATACCCTCCCCTCCCCACAAATCCCACATTAAGTCAGTAGATAATATAATAAAAGTGTTGTAAAATGTTGCCAACGAGTACAAACCAGTGCAGGTACAGGGAGATTAAAGCATCCAAATGCAGAAGTCATATCCTTTTTTTTTTTTTTTTTTTGGCTTTTCAAGACAGGGTTTCTCCTATAGTTTTGAAGCCTGTCCTGGAACTCACTCAGTAGACTATGCTGGCCTCAAACTCACAGAGATCTGCCTGCCTCTGCCTCCCTAGTGCTGGGATTAAAGGTGTGCGTCACAGCTCCCTGGCTGTTTGTGTGTGTTTAAATCTAGAATTCATTGGAATCATTGCAAAGATGCTCTCCGAGCATCCCAGCAGAAAGTTCACCCCTGCAGAAAGTTCAGGTGTGAAATCTGAACATTTTCCTAAGAGGCTGCTCATTCGGACTCAGCACCGAGGACTTCAATCGTCTAAATATTCCCACCAACCCTGCATATCATGGCAATTATGGGCAACTACATACTATTGTACTTGGTTTTAACTTTCTGATTTCCATCTGCTTTATTAACCCATGGAATGATAATCAAGGGAATTCTTAAGTAAAGCCTGGAATAGCCTGGGAAGCCCATGCTAATGTAAACACAACCAACACACTGACTTTCTGCATTTAACTCAGCTCTGGGTTAAGTCTATTTCAGGAGGGAAGATCCACAGAGTTTAAAGTCGCAGTGCAAGCAAGAAGTTTGAACTGCTGCAGTGATTCTGTGTGAGATGTCCAGTTTGTGAAGGTTATTTGATGTCTCATCACTCCAGGCCAATTGTTTACGTGATTCAAAAATAACATTTATGCCTCATAGTTTATGAGCCTAACTCACAGCACAGGAGGCCCTGTGAAAGCCTGCCACTTGTGTACTTACTTCATGCAAGTGGAGGAAACAGCAAGCTGCAAAACAGCCCTCCCAAACACAAATGCAGCATAAGGTAACTTAGCAACGCAACAAAACACAGCAAAACACTCATGTTTAGATTCAGCTGTGTCGTAAAGACAGGATTAGAGTCTGAAACAACCCGTTTCTGTGATCTTTGAATTGGCAATGTCTGGTGTAGGGCTGCACAATCATACTAAGCTGTGTGATCACTCTGGTCTCCAGTGAATTGCTGGGGCTGTATACATGGAGTGTAACACATGGCCCGGTCGGCATGGGTTCAGATCTGTGTGTTCTGTTCCAGGTAAAATTTGGAGGTAGCTAACAATATCTAGCATGTTTCTTCTTCCCCAAAAACTCATCCAGGTGGAAAAATATCCTGTTTTAAGATAACCTGGTGAGCGTCAGTGTCTTCCTCTGCCCTAAGTTCTCACCTTCTTTCTTGCCTGCTTTCTGTAGTTATTTTCCTTGCTCTGTAACCCTGCCTCTGTGTCATGCTACTGAGATCATTTTCCTACTCTAATCCTGTCCCCTCCATTTGGTCATTTCACATCAAGCAGGCTACAGACTATTACTTGTCTGTCTCCTCTTTAAGCCCAAGTGCTTTGACAATTAGAAAAAAAAATGGAGGAAACTAAAGGGCATCAGGGCTTTGAGAACTGCCTGCAGTTTTCTGTCAGCTACACTTGATGCTTCTGAGAGTGTTCCTTGAGAGAGTTAGCTTTTTGTTTTGATTTTCTACCCGTGTCTACTTTGGACATTCTTCTTTTAAATCATTTAAAATGTACACATTATAAGAAATGACAACGGTTCAATATGCAGTACCAGATCTTCTAAGGTTGTGGTTGTGGCTTGGCAATTACTTTTAACACCACGTGTCCACAGACACAGAAGATCAGGTCTGCCAAAGTGCAGGTAGAAAAATGGCCTGTCACTTGTTCTAATTTCAATGCCACATTTTCTTAATGTGTAGGAAGATTAATCCCATTATCTATATATGATTCACAAAATCTACCTCTGGCATATTTGGACAGGACACACCAGGTCCTGATGAGTCAGAATGAATAAAAAGGTTTTACTTTTGGAATTAAAATCAACCAGGCAACTTGACCAGAAACTTGGGATAGCAATTACCATAAAGTATGACAAATTCCCCAATCCTCTTCCAGCAAGGCTGGCAGGACTGTGAACCTCAACACAACCTCTTCCTAAATGTCCATCTGGGGGATTTCCTCAGACTTCCTTCATGCGCCTCCCACCCTATTTTATGGTGGAGATGGAACCTTGGTCTGTTACGCATGTTAAGGGTTCTACCTCTCAGCTAGACCCCAAGCCTCCCCTGTTTTGTCTTCATTGGCACTGAAAAGGAGAGTTTTAGGTCTGTTTCTTAATGAAAACTCTGTATAGCTTGAGACTTGGATCTGTAAGCAGTGGGCTTACAGTGATCCTAGGGTTCCTTGAGTATTTTGCGCCTCCTGGTCTACCCAGAGCATTCATTATAATCACAGGAGGCATGGGAGAGCTGGGATTTTGGTTTGCTGATGTCATCGGGTACACTTATAACATCTCTGTATTTTCTCCCAGAGGCAGGAGGCAAGAACTCAAGAGGCTGATCATGGGGGTTTAGCCTGGGGTTGATAAGTCAGAGGTATGGATGCTGAGAATGAGGGCAGTAATTCTTTCCAGTTTTCTCTTGGCTCTGGGTTTTCTGAGAGCAGAACAGCCTCCCAGCTCAAGTGTGGGCCCCAGCATCAGCTGGGTTGTGGGTGTGGCTCATGCTGTGGTAGTTGTGGCACAGCTGTGTCTCATGCCCCCCTTCTTCCCCACGGGGGTGATAAAGAGAACAGCAGGAGGTCAGAAGACCACACAGCAGCAACTTTACAAATTCCATCCCAACTGCCTTGCTTCATCCCCAACAGTAATGTGGGGCAGGCTACCTCTCATCGATCTGACCTTTGACATCTTGGTTCCGAAGGGTCTGCCAAGTGTCCAACTATAGTCTATGATGGTGAATTTGTGTCTATGAATCAGAATAATGGTAACAACTAGCATTTATAGAAGGTACATTGGAATATGCCAAATAAACCAAGTGCTTTTTACATGAGCTATGTAAACCCACATTAGTATCCTTGTTTTCCAGATGAGGAGATGGAGAAGTGAACTCATTCCTAAAGGCCATAGGTAATGAGTGGGAGAGCTGGCCTGTGCTCACAGCTGCCGGGTGCTGGAGCACAGCCCCGGCTCCTCTTAGACACCATCTGTGTTGTGTCTTTCTTCTGCTTTCCTTCCTTCACTCCTGTTCTTTGTTTACAACAAGGAGGAGTGGGGGTCTCTGGTTTATACACAGGATTTCGGTAAGATTGTATTTTTCAACTGAAAAATGTAATTACATGTATTTATGAGTGTAATCTGATATTATAAGTACGCAGTGTATACTGATCCAGGCTTTAGTGTCTCCCTTTAAGTAGTGACTGCAGTACAGTTTGTCAAAACAGTTTCTATAACCAGACATACTGACCCTTGGGGCTGGCTGACATGGTAAGCTCCATGCTCTGCCTTCCCTTGTTTAGAGCTCTTCCGTGTGCACACACACAATTTGGAAGAGGGCTAGAAGCAGATTCAGTTGCAGTTTTGCATCTGTATTCTTTTGTTCTGTAAAACAGCTTATTCCACTAACAATTTCAAACATGCCAGAAAAATGCCCTGAAATTAATAGCAGGGACCAGTTTTGGCAAGTACTTAGGAGCATGGCTAATTCTACCCCATAATAAGTCCCAACCTTCCTAGAGGGAAAGCGTACTAGAGAACCAACTACAAGATTTTGGATTTCCTTGAGTTCTCCAGCATTTGCTTTTAAGTAGTCAGAAAACTGACAGTTGAAATTTGTTAATAGTCAAGGAAATACACAAAAAACAAGGAAAAAGGGGCAAGCAAGCTCCACTTCTTCTTCCCTTCCAAACACACCTAATAGGAACATAAGAATTGGGGCATTACTTTTATGCTTCTCTCTCTCTCTCTCTCTCTCTCTCTCTCTCTCTCTCTCTCTCTCTCTCTCTCTGTGTGTGTGTGTGTGTGTGTGTGAGTTCACATGTGTGTGCAGGCACATGAGCATGTGTGCAAGTGGAAGCTAGAGGCCATTATTTTTTGAGATAGGGTCTCTCACTGAGTCTGGAGCTCACCGATTGGGCTAGTGTGGCCAGACAGTAAGCCCCAAAGACCAGCCTCTGCCTGCCCTGCCAGCACTGGATGCCATCACAGCCCAGCTGTAGATGTAGGTGCTGGAGTCTCAGGTCCTCATGATTACATAGCAGGTGATTTATTCTCCAAGCCATCAGTGCACCCCCTTTTAATGATGGTTTTCATTCTGACTATTTTTCAGAATGGTGGTCATGTGGTCATGAGTGACAAAACTAGAGCCTCAAGAAGGTGCAGTAATATAGACACTTTCCAAAGACAACGAAGAGGCTGCTGTGCTCTTTCATTACCTGATCATCTGGATAAACTGTATCACTCTAATTTTGATAGTGCACACAGGCATCTTTATTGAGAGACTGGTATGTGAAGAGGAAAAGTCTCATGAAAAAAAAAAAAAAAACCCTCAAGTCTTCACATTTTGCTAAGGTATCACCTTCTTCCCAGGTGGTACTAGCCAAGCTGACTCTGGTTAGCTCAGAGGTGAACAGAGATGGGATGCCTTCATCATGGTATGACCATACACTAAAATATCTCCTAACACAATATTTTTAAAGTAATGAACTATGGAATGAGATAAGTGGACTGGAATCTTAAAATATGACTGTTTTCATTAATTATATAATAAACTTGCTAATTTTAGCCGCCCTCTTTTAAATATATTGACTTACATTTTTCTGTGGATTTAAGGAAATCACCTTGCTATGCATACAAAGTAACCTCCCGTTCATGTTGTTTTTGTGTGTCCCCCATTCCCAGCAAAGTGCTGTATGATACTCAATGAGAAGGTTTGAGTAGGAAATATGATGCCAGGCAGCTAGTTATTGAATTCAAAAAGGCAACTGCTTTTCTGGCCCTAAGTCCATGAGCAATATTAAAAAAATATTTTTGATACAAACAAATCCTAATTCTATCCATAGTTGGTGGGAAACTCTGCTGGTAACTTAAATTCTGGCCAAGATCTCCACTGATGTTTTGCATGCATTTATTTTTAAATAGTTTGAGTTTGTCTGTCATATACATCCATGCCACCCCTTGGTCTGTATCCTGCCCCCCTTCTTTATTTCCTTGCATGTAACTTTATTGAAATGATATAGTTTATTCTTTTACAGGCTCATTTTCTATCTCCAAACTTGTCTTCCCTCCACTGCAACTCCATAACTCCAGTAAGAGGTGATCACATATGATACCCTTGATAGGATTTGCAGAAGGAATGCATATATGTCCCAGGATCATTCCCATAGGAATTCTTGATGGAATAAATGCTTGCAAAACAAATTTTCTATCATTGAGAAAGAGAGAGATGGGAAAGAGATGTAGAAAATAGTTTCATAGGCCAAAAAAAAAAATACAACTTCACCTTTTAATGAAGCAGTTCCTCTGCCTGAGCAAAGGCCTGAAACCCTAGACAGACACAGCCCAGCCCTCCATCTGTTTTCACCTGAGGGTTGGCAGCCATGATTGTGTAGTTCCCGTCATCATCTAGGGTAGAGGCCATGGTATGCAGGGAGCAGGTCCCATCAAGGTCTCTCTGAATGGTGTAGTGATCACTCTTTGGAGAAATCTGCTTCCCATCTTTAAACCAATAGATCTGTGGAAGAAAAGAAGAATAAAGTGTATGTGTGTCCTCTTACCGTTCAGGTGTGTAGCAGTGCCCGATCTGCAGAGGGCACCATTAAAATGCTAAACAAAGCATCTCACAGGAGACTGAATTTTCAGCAATAAAGGGAGGTTAATAGAAAATCCAATTTCATTTTAGTTTTAAAAAGGTGTGTGTGTGTGTGTGTGTGTGTGTGTGTGTGTGTGTGTGTGTGTGTGAATGCACCCACATTTGCATTTGTAGAGGCCATATGAAGGTATCAGATCTCCTGGAGCTAAGTTGGGCTGTGAGCCATCTGATGTGGGTGCTGGGAACCAAACCCAGGTCATCCAAAAGAGGAGTAAGTGCTCCAAACTGCTGAACCATCTCTCCACCCTGCTGTACCATAATTTTGTTTAATAAATATATGCATGACAATACATCTTCTTGCTCATTGCAACCATCCTTTCCATTTGTATTGTTTACATAAGTAATATGTGTATATTTTCCTATATATACAGCATTGGCAGTAATTAGCTCTACGAAGTGGCAGTATAGGCATTTTAATTTTCTTTCAAACTGTATTGGCAATTGAAATGTACTACTTATAAAGATGAAAAGCTTGCTTTATAGAACAAAAAGTGACTCACAGTGGGGAGGGAAGAAGTGTACCAGGGAGGGAGGTAGAACATACAGATCGATGCTGGCGGGAAGGCCACCATTGTAATTCTGGGTCAAGATGCATGTGATCCATGTTTATCAAGCCCCCCCATTTTTTTATAGAACACAGTATAATTGAAAGGCACAATATTTTTAAATATGTAAGTTGGACTGATTGAAAACTATATGTTAAAAATAATTAGTTAAAAATAAATCTTGATCAATTTTTCTTTGTCTGAAGTTCTAATTTGTACAGGGTAATGGTAATGGGATGATTGTAATATGAAAGCAAAGGGTGTCTAAACAGAAGACAGAACCAGCCTGGTGGGGGTAAAGAGCCAAGGAGGACAGTTGGGAGGGGAATGAACAAGAGCAAACATGATGAAAGGATGCCATGAAAACCATTGCTGAGTATGTCCACCTAAATATTAATGGAAAATCTTCCATCCTTAAGTCAGGAGGACCGTACATATTTAGTCCTAAATAAACACACCCGGTATTACACTCTTACTGCTTTCCTAACTCCCCCATTCCCCCTTGAGACAGGGTCTCACGATGTAGCCCTGGCTGCCTGGAACTCAGATTGGCCTCAAACTCACAGAGAGCCACTTGCCTCTCTGGTGATATCCTGTTTGTACAAATAAAACCTGTCTGAAGATCAGAGGATGGAGCTTGCTGTTAGCTAACCATAGAGGTCTGGAAGTCTGTACAGACAGATAGAAAGTAAGAAGGGGGAAATGGTGTGGGATCAACTTGTACAATGTAAAGATTTGTCACTTGCATTCTTTTAATAAAATGATGATTGGCCAGTAGCCAAGCAGGAAGTATACATGGCCAGACCAGGAGAATTCTGGGAAGATGAAAGGCAGAGATGCAGTCGCCAGCCTGACACAGAGGAAGCAAAATGAGAATGCCTTACTGAGAAAAGGTACCAAGCCACGTGGCCAAACATAGATAAGAATTATGGGTTAATTTAAGTTGTAAAAGCTTGTTAGTAATAAGCCTGAGCAAGAGGCCAAACAGTTTATAATTAATATAAGCCTCTGTGTGTTTATTTGTGACTAAAGGGCTTCGGGACTTGACAGGACAGAAACTCCCATTTACATGCCTCTGCCTCCCCGGTGCTGGGATTAAGATTATATGCCACCATGCCTGGCTTTCTATAACTCCTGTTTTTTTTTTTTTTTTAAGTTGGATCCCAGTTATAAAAACTATATTATACAGTAATCACCAGAACTTGATTAAGTTTCAGCTCTAAAATTACATTATATAAGGCATCATCCCTCCTAATATGCATTTTTAGTGATTTGATTATTTCCGATGAACCAGAGGAACTCTTCCTGTGGGTCACTCAGATATGTTGTTACAGTGATGCTTAAAAAGTGACGTCTTCCGCTTACCTTTGGCTTTGGATTCCCAGCCACTCGACACGTGAAAGTCACAGGCATCCCCTCAAAGATCTTGTAATGTTTCAGCTTCATCTCGAAGAAGGGTGCCGTTGCACTCTCGGCGGGTACATCCCCATACTGCCCCTCATCCCCTGACTCGTCCACAGGAGACCGTTCCAGTCGGTACTCTATCTCACTTATCAGCCTCTGCTCACAACTGGAGACTTTGTACTCCTAGGCCAGACACAGAAGGTCCAAGTCAGCATCCCCTGAGACAATAGCTCCCTCAATAATAAACCACAGGGCAGTAGGGTATTTTTACAATGAACCATGGTCTGGGCTCAATTCAATTTCACAGGGAAGCAGAAAGCATCTGGAATTGAGTTTGTGTGATATTTAAAATCATCTTCAAGTCTGACTCCCAAAATAAAACAAAAACTATAAGCAAACAGCCACTACTTTTCTTGGGAAGGGGTGGAGAGGAGCAGTTTAAACTATGAAGGAAAGGCTATCCATACTAAATACCTAAAGGGCATACTGATATCTTCTAGTAGGTAAAACCCCATGTGGGCTGCACACCCCTCCAGCAGGCTACCAGTGCATGGTGCAAGCAGCCACAATAGTGCACACAATTCTTTTTTTTTTTTTTTTTTTGAATTCTTTTTTTTAAAGGGGATAGCACCACAATTTTCTACTTTTACTTCTTTGTAAACACAATACACATATTATATTGGGGCTCCCTCCTAAATCTGCAACTATTAGGAGCCCATCTCTTAAACAAAAGCAAGATTGATGGTACAGCCACAACTTTGGTTAACAGCCAAAGCAATCCCAAGACTCTATGACATGTGACAGTGTTCAGGGTGGAATCTGCAGTTTCCTGCCTGCAAACTCCCATGAACATAAGATAGCCCATAACCACATATTCCCTAGGTAATATTGAGTAGGAACCTTTTTTATTTATTTATTTATTTTTTTTGAGACAGACTCTTACTATGTAGTCTAGGCTCAGCCATTCTGCTGCTTCTGCAATGTGGGATTGCAGGTGTGCACTGCCAAGCTCGCTTAAGATCCTACTTTAATTATGCTTCTTCCTTTAACAAGTTACTCAACCTTCTGAAAATAGCTTATTGGTCTGAGGAAAGGAATACGGCAGTCTGAGTAAAATTATGAAAGGCACACACTGCAAGCTGTTTTATTTCATGTAATTACTATCAAATGTATCATTCCTGCCCCTCCCAGAAGGGTGTCTAACGAATGAAAATTTTTCCATGCCTCAAAGTTTGGTCTATTTACTCATGCTAGAAATTAAAGTCAACCTTGTAGATAAACAATGAGAAAAGGCACATTCGTTTGAGACTAAATGAAAAATTGATACTAGCCACAGTATTTATAATTACCACACGGCAGTGAAGACAGACACACAGACACGAAAGGAAGCACAGAAGGGAGACAACAGCGGGAGACTGGACAGAGGAGAAGGGTGGAGCTTAACCTTTTGACCGTCCAGAGGACTTCCTACAGAAGCCCGAGGAGCCCCAACATCCTGTAAAGGCAGAAAACAAGAGGTGAAGGCTGGCAGGCAGATGTAGCAGGATTTCTAGATTCCTTTGCATGGGACGTTTGTGGTGGCAATAGTGAGCTTGCAGCTTCTGGAGGAAAACCTGTTCTCAGGGTTCTCAGACAAGTTCACTTGGCCCCTTAGACTTGCTTTAAATCTTTGTGGGACCTCGTTTGTTTGTTTTTCATTTGAGGCTACATCTAAAACTCTAATGGGGATTAATAGAATTATGAAGCAGATTGCACCAAATCCACAAGATGACTTTTTTTTTTTTGGTAGTAGCAGGGGCATAAGATAGCCCCTTAGGTCTTTGTCTGTTAGTGTTCTATTATCATCCTCATGAAAGAGGTCAGAGGCGCTCTTTTGTGAGCCTGGGGGGGGGGGTGGTCTACTTTTGGCTGACATTAAGAACAAGATGGGGACATTTATTAGCTTACTTCAAAAAATGTGAGTGAAATGGTTTTTCTATACAAAACCATTTTGTGTTAAAGCATAGGACAGTTTAAGAAACATGAAGACGCTGGAAAGGAAAGCACACAGATCAATACCAGGCATCAACCAGTCCGTAGAGATGCACTAGTATCATCACTCAGCAGTGTCAGGCATCTGCCCAGGGGGTACCACCTATGAGATAGACGGGACAGCACCCCTGCTTTTCTGTGACTCGCCTGCTGCATGCCACACAATTGATCTCAAGGACAGAGTCTATAAACAGTATGGGGGCAGTGGGCAGAATGGATCCCAGGAAGTTTAGAGCTTCGTGGTACCTGATTGGCTGTTGTTTCTTCTGGCTCCTGGATGTTGAAGACATTTGCGCTGTCAGCGCCAAGCAGGCGACGAGCCATTCTTTCCTCATATGTTAGCCTCTGTGCAAAACAAGTCACAGATACACAAAATTAGGGGAAATCATAATCATGCAATGATAATGGAAAAAAAGAATAAAAACGTAGAATAGGTTTTGACTTTTCTTTCTTTCTTTTTTTTTTTTTTTTTGTAACTAGTCTCTCCTTGGCTTCATAGCTCTATCCCAAAAAGTCTGTTTCTTTTTCCTGGCTTCAGTCAGAAATGAATGACCTTCCCTGGCCTTTCCTGCTTCATATGGCTCAATCCAATGCTGGGAGATGAGGTAACTATCCCTGGCAGCTACCACCTGATATGACACAGATCCAAGGGAAAGATAAGCGGCCATGGTGAGTCCACAGAGGATAGTGTCCTTATCCTTGGGGGGGGGAGGGCAGAGGAAAAAGGGTGATTTTAAAATAGCAGAGGAAGATGCTCTTGAACTTAAAAGAGACGTTCTGAACTCTCAAAAGAGATGTTCACAGGTTCCAGAGCATCCATGTTGGTTCCAGACAGCGACAGAAAGAGCTGCTCCAACGGGCAATACATGGAGTTCTGAGAAGAAAAGCAGGTGCTGCTGGCAGAAACAACCCTAAGGGTCAGTTCCCACCACATGTGACACACAGAAGATGCTCAGTCAGCAGGAGCACATGGGAGTCTGAGGTTGGTTCCACCTAGGACACTGCCTCAGCTGCTGCACAGTGTAAGCAACTTGGAGTAAATATAATCACACAGAATGACTTCATATGAGCAAGCCAGCATCTAGCAGCCCCAACTGGTGACTTCTCAGACCCTCACTGCTTGACCGCTGGGAGGAAGTCCACACTGCTGCTCCCTCTAGCTGTCTGCTGGGCCATTCCTAAGAGTGACATTCCAGCAGTTTTGTGATTCTTGTACTTGTGTGTTTTTTCTATGTGGCTTAGAACTATGGATCTGGGGGGGGGGGACTTTGAGAGCTCACAAATCCCTTCAGGGGCATTTTCCAAACAAGGGAACCACTAGAAATATGGAATAATTAGTAGGGTAGGATCTGAGAAAATTATAAAAGTACAAGCATTATTTTAGATGAACCTTCGAATTTCTGAACATCAAAAACAAACACTATTCAATATCCTCTAATCAGAAAAATATGTTGGATGAATTTACAGTTTCCAGTAATTGCTGGTTCTGGTCCCAGCTGAAACTGGGAAGTGAAACAGATCAAATGCCAAATAGCCCTACAGTTGAAATTATTTCATTTGCTAAAGAAATGGCAGGAGACAAGAGTGGGGGGGTGTCTGAATGCTGCAGGGAGTGATTTGGTTCAGTGATCATGCAAAGTGATTTATCAATTCTGTTCACACAGAGGAATTCAATTTTCTAATGGAGTTTTAGAACCCTGCTCTCTTACAAAGTCTTCCTCGTGGTCTGGTGGAGAACATTGTCATGAGTGGAGAGGCCTGTTCACATAGGCAGAAATAGCACTGGTACCTACCCCCTCACCAAGATGCCCCTGCGGCCCTCAGAGCCAATTTTACTTGACAGTTTGGTTTCATTAGAGAATCCCCTTTTTAAAAAAGTAACTTGGCTTTTCTTGTCATAAACTATCAAATGCAGGATTGATGAAACTAATCATCATGAATGCTTGCTTATTGCTAAACAGACAAATATAAATAATGTATACGTGTATGAGTTATAAAATACATACAAGTCAAATAAGAAGTACATATTCCAAGTATGGTCAAGTTGTACTTTATAGAAGTTCATTTTTACCCAAGGGAACCCTATCCATAAGGAATATATAAATAAATAAAAAAGAAATAGTGTGCTGGGGGGAGTTGGAGAGACGCCCTCACCTGGCTACAAAAATTCTCATTAGCATCTGTTTTAATCTCCCAAAGGCTTTATTGCCAGAGCCAGGGAATGCTTCCAGAGTATGTGCAGTTGCTGTCAGGGAAATACTTCCCTCTTGGGCAGAGCCTCAAAATCCAGGGAACTGAGCATCACAAAATTTTCTAGAGCTTAATCTCCCTTAGATTAAGAGCCCTTAATCATTAACATCAGCATCTAATACCCCCATTCTCCAACTTGCCAAGTAAACTCATCCACATTTTATCAATGTTTCACAATTAGAAATCTCACAACGCTAAAGTGTTTTCTGTTTGGAAAAGTCATCTGCGAGGGTTTTCTACAGAGGCTCCTTCAGCTGAAGAGCCAAGATTATTTTTCTGGTATTTCATGATAAATCCAAAAAAAGACCCCTCTCCCTATGTTCAGGCTGCCTGATTTGCTAGCTTTTCCCAGCCCTGTAAAAACTCCGAGATGGTAAGAAAGGAGTAAAGAAGCAAACAAACACAGGAGGAAACAGGAAGATGAAGGTTGTGGAATATTTAAGCAGTGAAGGAACAACCCTCTATTTCTCATCAGATTGATGGATCCCGTCACTAACCTACAGCCTTAAAGCATAAGTAGTTTTGTTTTGTCACGTTTGGTAGTTCCGAGTTTGCTTTAAAACTCGGAACAAGGACTGTGGGACAGGCAGCACTGTGAGGCGAGGCTGCTCAGTGTCTACTCAAGTCAGGGAGGAAAGGATTCCGCCTTGGCAAGGGTTTCACTAGCACAGGTTTTCTATCCTGCGAGGAAGCCTTTCATTCCAGTTTGCTGCTCCCGGGGGCCTGCTCTCCCACATCACCTTCCTGCTTCCTCCCGAGGAGCCACTGAACTAGGATGGAATCTCTGTGGATGCTGACACTTTACAGCAGCGTCATTAATCATGCGTCGTGGTTTCATCCTTAGTTGCTGCCCTTCCTACTTCTTTTCTCTCCTCCTCACTAAGAGCAACGCTGAGACTCAGATGTAGCGAAACAGTCTGGTGGGTAAGTCTTATGAACCTGAGCCTTAGTGAACCAGGAGAAGGGGTCTGGGGAGCTGGGAGCGGGGAGCGGGGATTCTGAGTGTGATCCCCTCTTCCATCAGTACCGGCTGGCCATTGTTCAGAAGGTCCTCCTTGAAGCGAAGTTTCCGTTCCAGGTCTTGAATGACAGCATCCTTTGTGCCTTGAATCTCCTCATCCGAGGCTATTCTAGCAGTTCTACTGGCCTTCTTCGGAAATCCCCTGCGCAACAAAAGCATAGGGCGGTACAGTCAACAAGAGTCCAAGTCAAACGTTCGAGTTCAACAAAGAAAGTACACCATAGCAAGATGCCATTCATAGTACATCTCTTTAGAGCATCTACAGCCACTCGTATGAAAAGAAACACGAAGATGCTTCTAGGACTTCAGGAAGCACCAACTAGATCCAGTTCTTGGAGAAGGTCCAGATACAAAAAAAAAAAAAAAAAAAAAAAAAAAAAAAAAAAAAAAAAAGCACCCTCAGTGGCTAGGCAAATGTCACAGACAGGGAATGACTGAGTTTCAATCCTAGGGAGTAGCAATGTAAGTGTAAAAGCGATATGGCTTGCTATAGGGTTTAAATACACTTAACCTTGAACTTCACAATTTTCTTAAAGTTGCTTATTAAGTACATGTAAAATACATAAAAATGAATGAAATGTGAATGTTAAGAAGATTTTTAAAAGGGCTAATTTCTCAATTCTCTCCTGATTTAAAAAAAAAATCTTTCTGGTCCTTCATAATTCACTGTATTCAACGACAGGACTCGCCTCCTTGTAAGCAATATGTCATTCATCAGAAATTCCTGGGGTCAAGATTTGAGGATGTAGCTCAACTGGTAGAGTGCTCACCTAGCATGCACCAAAACCTGGACTCTATACTCGGCACAGAGATTAAACTGGGTGTGTAACGCCTGCCCCCCAGCACTCCACCCCCCAGGTGGAGGCAAGAGGGGCAGGAGTTCAAAGACATTCCCAGCTACATAGCAAATTCAAAGCCAGCCCGGACTATACAATACTCTGTTTTTTAAAAAAGTGAAAATCCTTCATGTGTCTTACACATTTTATACACAGAACACAAGGGCATTCTACACAGAATCCTTAGTGTGCCTGTATTTTGAGTGTGAACCATCACAGGAAAACGGGCGTGGGATTTTCCACTTACAGTATCACATGGAAGCTCAAAACAGTGTGCATTTGGGAGGCTTTCAGAAACTGGATTTTCACATTAGGGATATCCAACCTGAATTACATTTGCTGCTTTCCTTCCCATTTCCACATATCCTATTTGACCAATGTAAGCCTGAGTTATAAGATTTTGGGTATGGTTTTACACAAGAGGGCTCTGGCCGGTCTGCATGGCTTGCCATGGTAAGCAGTAAATCTCAACTCCTACAATAGAGGTAACATTAGAGCTGCAGCAATTCCTGCACTGTGCACCAGGGGGCACCAATGCTGCGTGCTGGATAGGTGTGGATGCCTGTTGGTATCTCAAGCAAATAGACTACTTTCTATTTCTCAGTGGGTGCAAATCAAGGAGAGACTGGACGAAATGCAAAGGGAAAATGAATGATCCATGACTACCCTATTCAACACAGTTGAATTTTGAGGTTAAAAGAAAAAAAAAAGCAAGTTGTAGAAAAATGCATTTTGTATTTCCACTTAGGAAGAGGCAAAAGCTGAAGTCTGGTCCTAGGAGGGGTGGCTCTCTGAATGTATGATCCAAGGGGTCACCATGAATGATCCTGAGGAGCTGTTAGGGGCAGGTGTGCAACCTCATTCCAAACCTGATTCAGCCAAATCAGAAACTCTGGACTGGAGTCCAGCAGTCTGTGTTTAATAACCTCTCGGGGTGATTCTGATACATGGAAAGGTTGGATTAAGAAACCCAGGGAAACATATGCATGTGGTAAGTTAGGAAGAATTCCCAACTCAGGGCATTGTTAGCTGGGGGTGGGGGGCAGTTAGTGTAGGGTAGGTGGCTGGTGAAAGGTCACATAGGGCTTTTAAAGATAAAGAAACGGATGCTAATAATACATTATTAGAACATAGAAATTCTATATATCCTGCAATAGGATATTTCTAAATAATAAAAGAAATCTTACTACAAATGTGTCCCCACATCATCCCCTGACACCATTGTCTACCGTGGCAAGAAGTAATGGGTTTACCAACTTTTGATTTCTTAGAGCCCTGTTTATCCTTGTGGGGGGTGGGGGGAGCAAAATAAAGCTGAAACACGTAAGCAGAAAATATGGCGATGCTGTAACTGCTGCACACCCTACACGTGTGATGCTGTGTGTCCAGGGGGCTGTGCACCTGGTCTTCCCAGACGTCATTCTTCCTGTGGTCCATGTTTCTTTGATTCCCTCTTGAATGCTCCTAGTTCTGTTGGGTGCTTATCCTGAACACATAGAGAGGAGATATCCTACCCCAGTGCAGGGCTAAACCAATCTGAGGTTTGATCGTTTGCTATTTTCCATTCTTCTAAATATTAGTTGGTGTAGTAAAGGTAGGTGGCATGTCTTGGCCACTGAGAGGTGAGTAATGGAAGTGGGATGAGAAGGTAGAGTGCTCCCATCTCTAAAAGGAGACATAAAGGGAGACACGGCCCTCTTCCTTCACTGGTAGAAATACAATAGCCCACCCTAGACCTGTTTTGTAAGTCAGCAAACCCCATGTATTTCATCTACTTGTGTGTGAGTCTTCTGATACTTACAGAGGAAAACATCCTACTTAATAAAACCTGGGTTTCCAGGTCCATCTAGTTCAGTCAAATTTGTCCCAGCACATTAGAGTTAAACATGAAAGAAACAAATAAAAACGGTGGCATCTTTAACTTTTGTTCTATTCACTGAGAAGTGACCATGAGGTTTAGAGAGACTGGAAGGAGCAAAAAAATAGGCAGTGAAATTGCTTAAGGCACCAATAGAGTCATACGAGTTATGATTTAGGATTCAATTTTTAGTACCATGAAGCCATTTAACAAAAATGCTCACAGTTTTCTGGGTTTCCTATACAGACTTTCTTCCAGTTATATCATCAGCTTTCACCTTAATGTCTCATTCGGGAAAAAGTGCTTAAGTCTATCCTGTTAGTAATGTCCCATGTTCAGTTCTTCATGAATCTATCTTCCTGATTATTTGTATTCTTGAATGGTCTCTTTCCCATTGTGGCTGTTTTTGTTCACACACAGATGTTTCTGCAATGAGTGAACATATGTATTATTTATCTGCACTTCTATCTTTCTCTCCTTTCCCTCCTCAGTCAAGAATATTTGTGTCATACTATCTGAAAGCAGATGACCTGGAAAAAGCAGGGCTGCTGTGGTACATGCCTTTAATCCCAACACTTGGGAGGCAGAGGCAGGTGGATTTCTGTGAGTTCAAGGCCAGCCTGGTTGACAGAGTGAGTTCCCAGGACAGACAGGGCTGTTATACAAAAAACCTTGTCTAGAAAAACAAACAAAAACAAAACAAGAACCAAAAGTGTAAGGAAGATGAATGCCAAGAACAGAACAGGCAGTCTAAATGAGAAAACAGAGAGCTGCTGTTTATAGACTGTTTCAACTGTCTATAACTGACCAATACCACCATTGGTCCTGCTGGCTGAAAAGCATTTTCCATTGTACTTGACTCTTTTCAGGGGACTTAGAATAGCTAGCTGCTCTGGGGAATGTCACAGAGGAGTGGTCTGTCTTGGTGTGGTCTCTGCCACTCAAGTATTTATTATTTCACTATAGGAAAAGAAAAAGAGCATAGGGAAGGACATTCCTTGGGATAGCAAGAGCCACATACTGTCAGGTATATAGACAGATGGCATCCAGGTGCCATAGCGGAGGGTATAAAGGACATGGTGTTACCACCTGTATGAAGACCTACGGAGATCTGGGTAGGCAGTGCATAGACCCTGTGGTCAGAATGAGCCCTCAGGGTCAACAGACAGTCACTGTGAACCATGAAGGAAGAGATAGGAAAGACTCCATTTCTCACACATAGTTTAATTTGGAGCATTTAAAAAACCGGGGTGGCAGGAGCTCCTTGGAACAATTCAGAAAATTAGGAAACCCAGTTAAAAACTGCAGGTAAGGTTTGGAGTACCATGTAAGACTGGCATGAGATATCAAAATGAAGCATTTGGGAAGCGGAGACACATGGAAAGAAAAGCGATCCTATCTCCAGGGCAAACGTTTTGAATGCCCTGCTGAGGTTGAAAGTGACAGGGCTGTGGGACTGCAACCTCAGGTGGCCCTCCCTGAGTTTGACAGCCAAAGAAGAGCCAGCAGCTGCTGACAAGGGGCATTCTCTCTTCAGGTGATTGGTACAACTAAAAAAAAAAATGCTTATTCAGAGTAAACTGTACTCAAAGTAGACCTCCTCACAAAATTCCGCACTCAGAGGCAAACCTGAGCCAGCAAACAAATTGGAACAGGCTTCCCCTCAGACTGGCAGATGGCGAAAACTGCTCTGAGTGTCCAACAGTTCCAGACGCTCCAAGTCCCTTTCCTCTACTGAAGTGAGTGGCCTGAGGGTAACTCAATTCCACAACCATTTCAGGGCTTGAAAGCGCAGGCTTCAGATCCTTCCTATATTCCAGGGTGTCGTACATTCAAGAATATGTAAAAGATAGTATTATTTTTAACCAGTCCTATTTTTAAACTGAATTTTACTGCTATAATAAAATGGCTAAAGCACAGAAAATTGAGTACTTGTTTCAAGAACTTCCCCTTGTTTTCTGTGAGGAGTGAACTGAGAAAGGCGCACACACAACCCTGTATGACTTGGTAGTGTGTCATCCCTGACTGAGTCTGACTGAGCTACCTTGCTCAGAGACATTTTCCTCCGCCTACCTGCACAGAGGTACTGGAGTCCTTGCCTGGGAAGCTGCTGGGAAACACAGGCCCAGGAGAGGATCCATCTTTGTGTGGGTGTCTAATGACCGGGCACCAGGGGATGCTTCTAATTCCTTCAGTGGGGAACAGCAAGACACCTACCTATGTGTCTTAGGAAAACCCAAATAATGAGAAGCCTGCCAGGTCCAATGCCCTTTTATTCTGCTGGGTTCTCTTTTTTACTGGTTATTGTTTAACTAATGGCTTGACTTGAAAAATGAGTTAAAATGTTCACGGGTCTAAAATTTAACTGTAAACTGAGCCTGTCACAATGACGTATCTCCTTAAGATGCACAGGATTGCCTTGCTTTGTGGTGGTATTTTGCTTATGCTCTAACAAATAAAGCTTGCCTGAGGATCAGAGCGCAGAGCTAGCCACACTAGTTAGCCATAGAGGTCAGGCAGTGGTGGTATACACCTTTAATCCCAGCACTGGGGAGACAGAGTGATCTCGGTGAGTTCAAGGTCACCCTGAGCTACATGAAATTGATCCAGTCTAAAAGAGAAACAGAGCTCACACAACGGTGATCTTAGCACTTGGGATCCCATGCCTTTAATCCCAGCAATAGAGAGGAATATAAGGCAGGAGGAGACAGGAGCTCAGTCAGTGCAATCTGAGGTTTGGTGGAGACAGAATAAGTCTGAGGATGCAGTCTGAGGACAGGATCACCCTTTGGTTTGGTAGAGGTGAGAACTCTCTAGTGGCTGGCTGCTTTGCTTCTCTGACCTTCAGCATTAACCCCAATATTTGACTCTGCGTTTTTATTATTAAGAACAATTAGAATTTTTGCTACAATTCTTCTATGGCTGTTTTCTCCAGGGTTACACTTGCTAGAGACCAACAGAGGCAATGCACTCTGGGCTGGGTCACAACAAGTCCTCTCTGTTCAGGCTTTTTCCAGACTTGGGGAAATTCCCCTCACTGCATGCAGCACTCTGAGACTGTCCCCACTGCCCGTTCCTATAAACCAGGAGAAACAGAGGGCACTGGAAGGTTTGTACAGCCCTGACTGAAATGCTCTCAGTGCACCCACATGAAAGATATGCAGGCACAGGCTCTTATTCCTGACAAATGTGGGGTAATATTTCAAGCCAAAGCTCTACTCATAATAAAGAAGAAACTGAGGGATGTCACACCCTGAGTATGCCTTTAATTTCAGTACTTGGGAGACAGAGGTAGGGAGATTAGGAGTTCAAGGGGAGTCCCAGGTATTTAAAGGTTTGAAACCTTACCTTTAAAAAGCCAGAGACAGAGGTAGGGGGGAAGGAAGGAGGGAGGGAAGAAGGAAAGGGGGGGAAAGAATAGCTAGGAGAAGGAAGGAGAGGGACTGGGAGAGAAGGGGGGGTGACTGATAGACTGTAACAGACTTGTTGGCACATGCATGCCATCCCAGTACGTAAGAGGACAATGCTGCAAGAGAGAGGATGCTGTCTCAAAAAAACAAAACAGAAGAGGCTGGAGCACTGTGGTTATGCCACACCCCTTATGAGAATAGAAGCCAATATTGTTGGTGAGCAAAAGCCCTGTGCCTATCTGACCCCAGGGAATGGAGTTGATTGGATCCCCCAGACCTGGTACTACATACAGGGATTCCCCTGGAGACTAAAATGCCCACAGCAAGTTGGGGGAAAACATGCTACCAAAGACTCATCCACCAAACCCAAGGAATGGCTTCAAGGGAGGGGAAGTTCATTTAAGACAAGAGGGAAGCCACATAGTCATAGTTTATTGGGCTGGCATGGAGCTGAGGACCGGTGGCTTAATCTGGCACTACTATTGGGTAGCACAGAGCTTAGCATTTCTTTGGTACAGTCTCCACAGGCACAAAGCAGTGTGGTCACTCCATTCATTATAAAAGAAACGTTAGGAATGCCTGGGGTTCTTTTGTGGTGATAATTGTACTCTGGCTCCAAGAGTAATTGTGGTACATACAGTTGGTGATAAAGAACAATACAGGCCCTCAGAACTGCCATCCTTAGAACAATGTCACAGCCAAGGCTCAGAATGGATCACTGTCTCCACTTAAGATGATTGAGGGCGTGACCACACAATGCAGTTGGAAGACGAACCTGGTCAAATCCTATATGAGTACTATGAGTACTATTAGGACGGATTATTTGTCTGGTACTTGGTTGGTTTCTCAGGTGCAAGATTTGGTAGGATTTTATTGATGGAACTGTCTGCAGCCTCCCAATTCATGAACTGATAGTTGTTCTCTTTATAGTAGATAATGCTTCATTTTCTACCAGCAAAATAAAGGCTCAAAAAAAAAAAAAAAAAAAAAAAAAAAAAAAAAAAAAACTGGAGAGAAAGTTTTCCTCGGGCCAGCTCTCTGACTCAACTTTGAACAGAGGCCCATTATGGTATCATTCCTATAGGATCTATTCTTAGACTTCCATACTTATTTTGACTATGCTATTTCCAGTTAGGATTTGAGAAGAAGTCAGATTTCAAACATGGAATTCATGTAGCCAACATTTAGAAAATGTCCAACAAAGCAAGTCACTGCCACTCCCGGGTTAAGGCTAGCTACAACAGTGGCTGTATACTGTGATGTAACTGTATCCCAACCAGGGGAAGCTTTAACTAGGACTAAAAATAAATTCTGTCTTTTATTCCTCTTTTGTCTCTGGGTGTCTGGCAAAGTCTGCAGTAGGATTTCAGTAGGAAGGGTAGAGACAGCGATTCTAGCTTGCTCTTGACATTTCCTCTTTCAACATTCAATGTTACATTTTGGTCTATTTATGTGTGTGCTGGCATATATGATGCCCATGTGGAGGTCAGAAGACAGCTTGTGGGAGTCAGTTCTCTCCTTTTGCCATGTGGATTCCTGGGCCCCATTCAGGCCTTCACATTTGGGGATGAGTCCCTTTCCTAGCTGAGTCATCTATCTCACCAGTACCACTCTGAGCCTTGCTTTTTGTTTTCTTTTTTTCTTTTTTTTTTTCAGAGAGGGTCTCATGGATCCCATACTGATTTCAAACTTGATGTTTAATAGAGGATAGACTTAAACTTGTGATTGTTTTGCCTCTACCGAATGGTGGGGTCACAAGAGGGTTGGGGCTTGGACCCAGGGCTTCCAGCACACTAAGTAAGCCTTCTGCCAACAGTGCTATGCCCTGAGTCTCACACTTTCTTGTTTTTTGAAATCTGCTGCGAAAGAAGCACTAACTTAGCTTTTACTCACTTTTATGCCCCAGCAAATCTTGTCGATACCTGCATGGTATATGATTAGAAGGTTTTACTGCGCTTTTACAAATAACTCATCTTTAACAGTTTTAATGAATTTTAAGACTGTCAGGATGAGACTAGGAGCCATATGTTCTAGATAATCTACAATAAAAAAGCTGAGAGAAGAGTCAGATGATCTGTTGCCTGGGGGCTAAACCATGATACAATTTCTCACTTGAGTCCATACTCCCTTATTTGTCCATGTTAATATACAAGGGCATTGTGATGCCTTGAATGAAAATGGCTCCCATAGGCTCATGTATTTGAATGATTGGTTCTCCAGCTGGTGGAACTGTTTGGGAAGGATTAGGAGGTGTGGCCTTGCTGGAGGAGGTGTGACACAGGGGGTGGGCTTTGAGGTTTCAAAAGCCCACACCAGGTCCTGTGTCTGTCTCCATGTCTCCTGTTTGTGGATCAGATGTGAGCTCTCAGCTGCTGCTACAGCACCATGCCTGTCTGTCTGATTCATACCCTGGGTACCATGATGGTCATAGACTCTAACATTTGGAAATGTGTGGCCTTCTTTCTTTTTGTAAGTTGCCTTGGTCATGGTGTTTTGTCACTGGCAAAACTAGGGAAGGCTTGTACGGCTTCCCCTTCTCACTAGATGTCTCTTAATAATGTTTAGTCTTTTTAAAACACTAAGTATATACTCAACCAAACCCCATGTAGTGTAGACAAACCTGAGCTGAGGTGAAATAGGGCTTAGCTGGATGGTGAGGGGATGGACTTAAGAGTCACACAGGACTTGATCTCAGTTTAGTGACTGTGTGGAATCATGCTATGTTAGTGGGACAGGGGCATCTCTTAGTGATGTGCCCAATGAAATAATGTGAACTGCCCGTTGCATAAATGACCAAGGGCCACCTTGTTCATATGGAAAGCCCTACAAAGATTTTGCTTTTGAGAACTTCAAGCAGCTGCATTTAGAAAGGGACAGTGTCTGGGTAATGGGAACCGATTGTCACTTAGCTGCTGAATGTGATGTCTGAAGGCTGGAGTGGTGGTAAGGGAGGGATGCCAGATGCTATTTGGGACTTCTGGCTATGCAGGCTTGCGGGGGGGAGGCACTGTCTTGGGGAGTATGTGCAAGTGCAGTCCCAGGGTGTGGGGAGACGGGCAGGTGTCACTCACGCGGGGGTGACGCCCTTGGGCAGCCCCAGGGCGTTGACAGCAACGGGTGGCGGCTG